TCATGAAACTTGACTTAAATTACAATTCACGAGGAACATACCATATATAATCATCAGCACTACTATCTTGGGAATTACTGAAATCAAATATATGCCATAGCTCTCAGCAAACTGAGCTGAACTTTCCACTGCGATTCGATCCATGGTCCAAGTGTCCTAGTTTGTTGGAGAAAAACAGGAAACCATCATTCTTATACTGACCTGCTGTTCCTCGTTCTCGGGAAAAATCTCCTTTCTTCAGGAGAGCTGTTGAATGTGACCGATTTTGAATGCCGAGATGGGACATCGAGGCCCCGGTACATATAAGTACCCAGTAGAACTTATGGTTGTCAGGATCAGTATGTACATTTCCATACACTGCATATATGCCGTGTCCCGGAATTAATAGCCCGACCAAGATAAATTGGAGGAATCGCTGTCGGACTCGATCGTACAGTGTTTTGTTTGGGAGTTGCCACTGAAGCACCCCCGCCTGCGGATGCTCATCCTGTTGGATTTGGGATTTGTCATTCCAAGCTCGTAATCTTACGTAGGTACAAAACTGTAGTCAGCGGATGCTTCTGCATCCGTTTGTCTCTCTCTTCTGACCGTCACGGAGAGGACAACCGGAAATACACTTGTTGCTGTCTGTTTACCCTCAGGAGCCTATCACAACACAAACGGATCCTAGCTGTCTGGTGGGCTAGTATACAATACACCACTGCTGAAGGGCGCTTGATGAAGCCCCTATTCTGCTTGATGAGGCTCCTATCATGCTCGTCGCTTGCTCGTCACTTGCTTGTCACTTGAATATTATCCAGCCGTATTTTCTGGATGTCGACATTCTTGTGATACCGTCGTTGGTCTGTGGAGACCATTATAAATACCTTCGAGGTCCATTGATGATTGGACACCCCTATTCGAGTTGTTGGCTACGAGAACGCCTACTACTCCTGGATTTACCTTGATTCAAGTTGTTGACTACGAGAATGTCTACCGCTCAACCAAGGATTGATTTGAGTTGCCGAGGGTCAAGTATGAGGATGCCCAGAACTGACCGAGTTGCCAAGGACCGATTATGAGGACACCTACAACTTATTGAGACTGTTTTGAGTCACTGACTACGAGAATGTCATGATTCACTCTTTTGAAGGCTTACTGTGTTATGATTGTTACAGATTACTTCGCTTGTGGGGGCATGTTGGATTTGGGATTTGTCATTCCAAGCTCGTAATCTTACATAGGTACAAAACTGTAGTCAGCGGATGCTTCTGCATCCGTTTGTCTCTCTCTTCTGACCGTCACAGAGAGGACAACCGGAAATACACTCGTTGCTGTCTGTTTACCCTCAGGAGCCTATCACAACACATCCAAGTCTGCAATACAGGAACACTGACGACGGGCGAATGTAGACGGTTACTCTTTTCAGTACTCACAAAGCCCCCAATCACCATTCTGGTATTGAACCTTATTATTCCCAAACAAGCCGTTTAAGTGGCTGAAGATTCCCGAGTAGCGCGCTGTATGCCAGTAATGCGGCTGCACTTGCCGTCGACGCGGGCTCAGGAAGGCCGGAGCTGTGAACCAGACAATGACATGGTGGTGACCCCATAGCATATTGTATTTTCTAAGACCGAGACCCAGTCAAAGCCCGGAAAGAGAATTGCAGCAAAAATCACCTACCCAAAAGCAGCGACGCAACCTCTCCCATAGTAATCATACGCAGAAACGATAAACCACACCGCGAAGATTGCGAAAGATCGAAATGCCAGACGCACAAGTCACGACGATACCAGCGGATGCCCTTCTCGCAGTAGCTACGGGAAGGAAGGAAAGGTAAGATAATGAAGTCAATCTAGAGGATATTAAAATGAAATAAGGGGAATATTACAGCGTATGATAGTCCTAACTTAGTCTGTCGATGGGTATCGATAGAGGAGAGTTCGCTGCAACACTGCCGCATTCACTTTACAGCATAAACAAGGATGTAGCCAGAAGGCAGTCCAGACCACCTTGAGCAAGGAATATCAAGTCCTTCCTGTATAGAATTATGAAAGGGAGAATCAAAACGTCTACGAAAGGACTGCCACACATCACCACAGGGCCATCTACCCTTTCACGCCTAAGAACAACAGCCCTACCTTTACAAGCTCCGCCGCCTCTTCCAAATAACTCATATCCGCACCCGTCCATCGCTAACTCTCACCCAATTTCTCCGTAGGCAATCCCTTCGGAATCACCGCTTCGAACGCTACCTTTCTTTTTTTCAGCTCCAGGGTCCGAGTATCTGTTGAATACGAGTAGGGCAGGATGGGAGGGGAGGGACGAGTAGATAGTGTGGAAGTAGTAGGGTTTCGAAGAGTGTAGAGGGAAGAAGTCCGGCCGTAGGCTCTGTCGGAGGCGGAGGTGCGGTGGCACCAGCAAGAATGCCATCAGCAAAATTCATGAGACTCGACTACCATGAATCATCCAGGATTGCCATGATAGATCGTCGCAGCCCGTATCTTCTCTCCATTGGTGCCCGCAGCCCAAGACGACGACCTCTTAACAGCTCTCCCTCTCAAACAACCCATCCATATCGGCATTGAACTCTCTATATTCCCTGTACAAGCTCCATCGTCGTGCGCACATCTTCCTCTGGGTTGTGGCCACCCGTGTTTCGTGTACGCGCCATTTTTTCGTGAGCAGGCGAGACCAGGCTTTAAATTGCAGTGGGCGTTCACGAGGGAATAGATCGAGGCGGTGTCAACGCAAAATGCGATTTGAGTGCTATGAGATCGGATTCGAGAATGTTCCAGGAGAATTGGCGTTAGCGGCGGAGAAGGAGAGGAAACGGAAATGGCTTTTTGGATGGAAAACGGATTTGATTTAGGTGTGCATGTGAATGATGAGACTGAGGTAAGTGACTTGAGGACGTGGACTTGGGCTTCGGAGAACGTGTCGCGAGCGATTCAGCTATTATTCCGGGACCATCTGTGAGAGACGATTCGGATGATGCATTAGTTATGAAAGTTTAGCTTTATCAATTTTGAGCACTCACCGAATAAGATAATCAATGACAGGGTTGGAGGGCTTGACTAGATGGTCATTCACAACGAGCTGGGTATCATGTCGTTTCGGTTTCCAGAACGTAGCGTTGGATGGAAAGCTAAAGAACTCCATAAGCCATTTGTGAAGATAGCGAGCTTCAGATTGTGGGCGCTTGCCGGTATCAACAACGTTCTAAGACACTTCCTAGTTTGTTGGAGTTGCCGGATAGAAGATGGTGAGCGACATCAGTTATAAATGGAGCATTCCCACGAAACTCAATTCATACGCCGATGACCGAGGCCCGCGTCACTCTTCTTCACGCCACGACTTTTGTTTCTTGTCCAAGTTCTCAAGCTCTCAAGCTCCAGGGGCAAATCAATAGTCCAAGTCACAGCCTAGAAGAATCAAGAATGATAAACTGTAGACTTAGAAGCTGCGCTCCTGACTCATTCTCCATCTCGAGCTATTGCAGATCTATGGCCATGGGTACCGGGTCTTGGGTCTTCAAGCTTCAAGATGGTAGTAGCAAATAAAGGAATTAATGAATCGAACAAATAGACGGAGCTTGCGCGTAACGTGTTTCGCCCTTTGCCCATTAGCGCGCGTACGTTGACGGACAATGTCAAGCCAAGACTGGCGTAGACCGAAGCTAAGAAAGAAAATACGCATCGTCCGCGTCAATACCGGTGACCACGTATATCCTAGGCGAAGATTCATCACATACTTCTCGCCGTCCAAGACCAGTACTTACGCAGTCACATCACACACCTAAAGTTACTGTTTTCATCAGAGTCCATTCCTCCTCTGAGCTTCAAGGCGATGCTCCTCACCTCTAATTTGATCTTTTACACCTACCGCAGCACACATCGCTAAACAGCCACGTAGTTACTCATATCCCGAGGCCCGATTGGACGAATTCTAGGTTCTAACAGGCACCGTTGGTTCAATGATTCTACTTACACCTCCCCGTTCTAATTATCCCCGCTTCTTTGAAGCTCGGCCACCTTCTTTTAGTCTATTTCAAACAACGACTGTGTCTATTTCAGTCACGGGGTAGAAGATTCCTCGAGAGAGACTTATTCTACGTGAAGAAAGGTGCACTGCACACCAAAAATCTGAGCGTTATCACGCAAGATAGGGCTCATGAATATGCGCGATCCAAAGTTCACTTGATCCTTAGTCTGGTTTTCGATGTAAAAGGTGCTTCTACTAACCTCGACGCGACGTCGTGTCATATTGACCTAGAATGAGCTTCCCGAAGAAATCTAGCATCGTTAGGACTTTCGTTAGGACTTTCAAGTATTATGCAACCGAGTACACCAAGGAGGAAGTACCATGAAGAAGAATGTGGCTTAACTCATAAGAAATCAAAGTTCGTCGAATCTGCAACCCTGGAGAATGGCCACCGATTACTGTACGTGTATCTCCATGTCTCCTATAAACCCCATAAAAGACTGGAATCGAAGTTCTCCCATATGAGTATTCACAGTGTATACGGTCATCTTTCCGAGTTCACAGTCAATATTCAATGTGGAAATAGAGGTCAGCTGGCATACATAGGGTGCACTTCTACCTGCACGCCTGGTATCAAGGACACTGTTATCCTTTAGTCACTCTCTCACTCTCCCTCTCCAGTACTCCGCAGAACGGTAGCAAAACATATCTCCATTGGCGGCCAGAACAGGCTATCCAGCCGACATGCCATAACACGGTATTGGCCATATGGTGTAGGGGTTATCACGCTTCCCATGTCTCCGGTTCAACTCTGGTTTCCATTTTGTAAAAATTACTTGAAGGTCCCGCAAGGTCTGGCACGGAAACGGAAGTTGTCCCGCCTCCGAGGCATGAATATAATCTCTGCTCCAACATGTACGATATGTGTGGTCGGCGTCAAAACTACCTCTAGGTAAAATTTCAACGCTTTGAACTGGTTTCGCGCATTTCCACTGGCCGCACACCCGGTACGCACTACACTGGTTTAATATCTTATTAAACATATGGTGTTGGGGTTACCACGTTCGCTTTGCATTATAAAGACATGTTTCCGAAAGGTCTCCGGTTCAAATCCGGATTTGTCCGCTGCGAGACCAAGATGGTTAATACTTCTCAATGTTCTCATTATTAAACGGGAATAATATCACAGACGGCTGAGGGCAAAAGTAAATGATCATGATCATTCACTTTTGCCTTCGCGATGGCTATTCCCGCTCCGGCTGGACATTGGGGGCACATCACTGTCTGTACCGTGGAAGTAGACCTCGACTTCGAGACGGAGAATTAAACAGGACATATTCCTTGTAAGCATATTTACTGCTATGTTACATGTAAGTTCAATGCACATATCTGTATGAATTGTCGGTGTATAACGAGTCTCCCCCGGGGAGACTAGTAGATAATCTTCTAGCGCCCTTCTTCTAGCGCCCCTCCTTCGAGACTTTTCACCTTGATGCCATCCAAGGGGATCTTGAGAGCATGGCCCCGGGTCTGCGCTCGGCCCACAAGTCGCCTGGGCTGCGGGCTTCAGACCCGTCCCGGCCCCAGATATTGCTAACATTGTCATTAGAAGAACTGACAATGCTTCCAGGATCTCGAGTAAAGCATCAGACAAAGTTTTAAAACCATAAGAGGAAATTAAAACAAACAAATCCCGCCCTAGGAGTATTTCTGTCAGAGGCAACGATGCTCAAGGTTGCGGAATGCTCACTAGTGAACGTTTCCCCGTAAATGGTGACTCCATCAAACCAGGACTCCTGTCCTGCATTCGACGGCTATTCGGACCAAGCATGTCTCCGAAGTCTCCGAAAAAGCCAGCTGATGCCATGTCGCTTTGTGGCCAATCTTCTCTTCCTGATTCATGCTGTAGCTCCTCTTGCCAGCGGCCGGGAGCGATTTGTCGTAACTGTGTTAGTGTGTGTTAAATCAGTTTGAAGCCGGCACGCTGGGATCCACGTACATGTTGCATTTTCATCTCATTCATCCTCATTCGGATAGGTGACACTTCTGGACGTGGTTGAGGCGACTCCTGTGCGTGATAATTCGCCAAATTGCTGGCATTAATATGAATGTCTGCAAAGCGGTCAGGTAAGTTGTCGAAGACAGTGTTTCCGGGAGCTAGAGTACAGGGATCAGGCAAAATTGAACCACTAAGAAGAAATTAAACAAACAAATTCCGCCCTAGCAGTATTTTATGTTAGAGTCAACGACGTTCAAGGTTACGGAATGCTCACTCGCAGATGTTCCCCAGTAATTGATAACTCCAACGGACTGGAACTCCTGCCCACCCAACGGCCAGTCGGAACACGCATCTCTCCAAAAGAAACCACGTGAAGCCATGTCACTTTGTCGCCAACCTTCGCCCTCTAATTCTTGCTCTAAGTCTCCCCAGGAGGGAACCGCCTGTCGTAACCGTGTTACATCAGCCAGTGAAGCCGGAATGGGATCTACGTAACCTGCGTTTTCACCTCCTTTGTGCCCATTTGTGGGCCTGCGGGACGCGACTGAGGTGATTCTCGTGCATTAGAATTTGACGAATATCTGGCAGTTCCAATTTCACCACGAATATCTGGCAATCCTCGTAATTCCCGCAATTTTACCTCGTTCATCTCCATTTGGATGGGTGGCACTTCCGGACGTGGCTGAGGTGACCCGAGATCACTAATTGATGCTATGCTACTGCGTTGCCAACTTTCTTCACCTTCGAGTTCCTCCTGTGACTCTGGTTGCCTGAGGGGAACCGTGCGTCGTAGCTGTAGTAGTCGTGTTGAATCAGCTGGAGTCAACTGGAGCTGGAATTCTGGGATGCACGTACATGTTCTGGGTTCACTTGGATAGGTGGCACATCTGGGCGTGACTGAGGTAGCTTATATATATGTGTGTGTTAAAACTCTGCAAGCTGGCATGCTGGGATCCACGTACATACTCCGGGTTCACCTCCTCCTCTGTTCGGATGGGTGGCACGTCTGGACCTGACTGAGGTAGTTCCAGTGTGTTAGAACTCTACAAGCTGGCACGCTGGGATCCACCCACGTACATTGTCCGTGTTCATTTCCTCCGTTTGGGATGGGTGGTGCTTCTGAACGTGACTGAGGTAGCTCCTATGCATTAGAATTCGACAAATATCTTCCATCAATATGAATGCCCGTGCACTAACCTGAACAAAGATCAACTTAGGTGTACTCAAAACTTAAGCAGCCTGCGTACTCACAAGGTGGGAATCATTAACTGCTTCTGGTAACTGCATTGACCGTTTTAAATCAACTGTAGACGAAATATTGGGATCCACATACATGTTCCGTGTTCATCTCCTTCTCCGACTGAGGTAGCTCCTGTGCGTTAGAACTCGACAAACCTGGGATTATATCTGAAGCGACTGAAGGTGACTCAGATTCAAACGTCCACCAGTTATTCCGATTCTCAGGATTATCATCAAGCTCAACCTACCGATAGCAAGATCAACTGGCATCTCCGATGCAAGGCTCTTAGCTGATAATTCATACTCACAATTGCCGTCTGAGAGTCAGAACCGAATCCCCAATAAAATCGGGGGTGGCCAGTTGTTGATATCCTTGCGACCATTCAGTTCTACAAGACAGGCATAAAAAACAGGTCATACAAGAACTGCTTGTTTTGTCTTGGTACTGGTGTAATACGAAACTGGAATTCCGTATCGGAGCAACCAAGCATGGCATCCTGCCTGAGATCGTGGGCGGCGGCGAAACGTCCATTGTCATGATTTGCCAACGTATATGTTCGGTTAGGCAGCTGGGTTACCTTCCACTGAAAAAATGGGAACTTGAATCAGGCATTCACAAAATCGAAGGAATCAATAGATACAGACCTTCCGGTCGCGATATGGACTAGCAACCAGACTAGTGTTCGCGTCGTTCGGTTTTGCAACAGTCGGACAGTTTAAGTACACGACATTGACAATTGCGTATTCGCCTGACGCAAGATGGTTATTGCCCTTCACGTTTGCCTTCATGGTGAGTGCTGTGAGATACTGGGGTGGACAATTCCGGGTATTTGTACATTCTTACAAGTCGACGTAGATGGTTATCCGTTCTTTCAGTTTTTCATTAGATCGCATGTTCGCCGCATGTTTTCGAAGGAGAAGACACGTTTTAAAAGCAGGTAGGCCATATATTGAAAGAGTCGCAAACCCGATTAATATTAGATACATTGAAAGCGGACAAGATCCCAAATACTTATGTCCATGGAGCATGAGAAGCATCCCTTAAATTGGAGTCAAGCCTTCAGATCAATAGCCCAACAGGATTCCAAGTTCCGGTTCAAAAAGTCTTATCGATAGCCCATCATCTCAGAAGACTTACTTATTCATCATAATATCGGCTTCAATATTAAAACCATCTCATATCGATGGCCCCGCATTTCGGAATTTGGTGTCGGATTTCAATCGAGATTCAGACGATTCACACATAACACCAAATGGAAAAAGCGGCTGAGTTTCAGCTCCAGCATCTCATTGGTAGCCCAGGATCTCAGAAGTCAGTGACGCCAACCGGGGAAGGAAGGGAGGATTTATTATATGGCATGGTCTAAGAGCCGATCGCCGGATCCAAGGAGTGTAACTCCACTAAGGGAATGAGTGCTGATTAGCTTTTAATTCGTCCTCATGAGCCTTTGGACCCTAGGTCGGCCCTAAGTAAGACGGGCTAAGTAAGACAGGCTTAGTCAGTAGCATTGTCACGAGTCCGTTTAGGAACCTTCTGCACCGGGTTCAGACACGAACCGAGCCCAAGGTTCAGGTGCGGGTCAGGAGTGCCAGTGTGAGCAATTTAACTTATACTTGTCCCACTTTTTCTCCATTTAAGTTAACGTGCATTTTCCCATACTTAGGCAATTTAAGACAATTGAACTTGTATTGATCAGTACACCCCTTTCTGAGTTGAATTTGGGCATTGAGGATGGTGCCAGGTCTCAGCAGTATGCCCTGGCAGTGCATTGACTACCAAAAGACTGCCGGACCATGTACTATCACACACTTTCACTTAGTTAACATGGTAATAGTAAATACAAGCTGACTATCTTTGTACAGGTCACTTGTCTTGCTTGATTTACCTGATCAGTGATGAGGGTCAAAACATACCTTGCTGTGGCTGAGTACTACATGAATACTGGCAAGGGGTGCCCTGGATGTGAACCCGTTACCTGAACCTCGGGTCAATTTTTTTTTAAGGACCCAGTGAGGGAGACCGACCGACCGAAAAGCTTATATAAACTGCCATATTAGGAATTTTTTTTCCCTCGGAGGTCAAAGCTAGGAATCCCTACACCTTATAAATACCAGATATTGATTGTACATACCTTACAGGCTACCATATAGATGCTATTTACCTTCAACTTTCAGTGGGAACCCTGGCAGTCCTGAAGTTTGCCGAGTTCAAAGTACCTGGTAGTACTAGTAACTCAGTGGGTACTGTTAGGACCAATCCTGTCTCCCTTTTAAAGGCTACATAGTCACTGTAACATTAATTATCTGTGGTTAGCATGTTTTGGGCCTCTAAAATAAGTTCCAGGATGCATATATCTGTATGAAATATGGATGTCAAATTTTTTCAAAGACCTCACTGACTGACCGACCGACCCGATATCCCGGGTTCAGGGTCAGGGCACCCCTTTAATACTGGTTGAAATGTTTTTGGATTCGTAGCTCAAATAAGCAAGAAGTCTTTCACATTGGTGTTGGAGTGCCATTCAACCCAAGATGATCCAGACCAAGAGTAGCAAGCCTGGATCGGAGTCCCTGACGAGTGTTGTGTTTCGCCGATCGGATATTACAACTCCGGATATAGTTATCAATCATTACTACTCACCCGGTTAATGATACTTTATATGTACCGGAATCCCTTAGATATATTTAGTAATGTCACCCCATATATAAGGCCTCAGTCTATGAGGCTAGTACCCTTGCTAGTACTATAGTTCTCTAATCTAGTCTCTTCTGTCTCATGGCTTATTTTGGTCCCTGCGCCGGATATTTACAACAGCAAGGTTCAAAAAAAAATTTGACAAACCCCTGAATTGCGCCCAAACCAATTTTTTTTACTCAATCCCAAGAA